GACATGATTACCACATAGATAGCTAACACATCCTCCACCTCACATAATGCCCATTTTGTTGGGGAGGTGGTGACAACACTGAAGTGCACTCTCTTAGCAACTTGCAAGTACACAATATTACATTGTTGACTAGAGCGGCCATGTTGTACGTTAGATCCCCAGGACTCACTGGTCTTATAACTGCAAGTGTATGTATGCCCTTTGGCCAACTTCTCATTTCCCTTCCCTCCCAGCCCCTGGCAGCTACCAGGCTCCGCTCCTGTTTTTATCAGCAGCTTTTTTAGATGTCACAGATAAGTGAGACCACACAGGTTTATCTTTCTCTGACTTATGTTACTTAGCACAATGCCCTCCAGGTTCATCCCTATTGTCACAAATAGCAGAATTTCCTTCTTTTTGTATGGCTAAATAATATTCCCTTGTATATATGTCCCTATGTATCCATTCGTCCACTGTTGGACACTTGGGCTCTTTCAATGTCTTGGCTGTTTTGAATAACATTGCAGTAAACATGCTGGTACAGGTTTCTGTTTGTGGCACTGATGTCCTTTCCTTCTGGGTATACCTAGCGGTGGGATCGCTGGATCATAGGGTAGTTCTATTTTTAAGTTCTTAGGAACCTCCACCCTGTTTTGCATAGGGGCTACACCAATTTACATTCCCACCAACAGTGCACAAAGGTTCCCTTTGCAAGGAGCTCTTTTGTAATTAAAAAGCTTTACAATGGCATTATGAAGAGAGAATGGTCCATTATTTGCCTCACCTTTTTACAGTGAACGTAATGACCTTTAATGAGGCAATTAAAGCCCCACAGAGAGAAGGCCTGGCTCGTTCTGAGTGAGACAGCAAACCTACCACAGAAGTGGAAAGACCCCAATCCCACAACGCTCATGTGAGCAAAACCGCGCCTCTCTGACTCAGAAGAGCCGCTCATACAGCACTGCATTTTGTCCTTCAAATAAAGTGGTTCTGAATTTTTCAGTGTGAAAAACACAAGCACTACCCAGTACAAGACACTAAGAATCACCATAAGCAACATACCGAATCAAAGAAATTAGAGGAATAAATACTGTAATTTCATGTCTCCATGATGAATAGAGAACAGAATACAATTACACAGGAGAAACTGTGAACTCAGCCGTCGAAAAGAATGAAATCTTGCCATTTGCAATGACACGGATGGGGCTAAAGAGTTAAATTATGTTAAGTGAAATAAGGCAGTCAGAGAAAGATATCATGATTTCACTCAAATGTGGGATTTAAGAAACAAAACAGATGAACACAGGGGAAGGGGAATAAATAAAGAGAGAGGGAGGCAAACAGACTATTTAAGGGAGGTAGGTGGGGGATGGGTTAGATGAGTGATGGGTATCAAGGGTACTTGTTTTGATGAGCACTTATATGTAAGTGATAAATCACTAAATTCTATTCCTGAAACCAATATACACTATATTTTAACTAGCCAGAACTTAAATAAAAATCTGGGGGAAAAAAAAAAACCAGTGTAAAAATACCGGAAAGTATCCCTTCTACTGTGGATTAAATCCCTTTGAAGGAGTCACTGGCCAAACAAAAAGGTAACAAGATAACAAAATGAAAGAAATGGGAATGATTCTTTGATCCCACTTCTGACCACCAGCTACAATTTTGGTCCCACAGCTGATGATCTTGCCAAGTTCATTCCTCTCTCGGCCTCAGTTTGTCTCATCTGCTGAGGAGGTGAGAGAGAGAGAATCATTTCAGATATCCCTTCCAGCCCTAAAAAGTCTGTAATGCAATCTGAGGTATTTGTGTGTTTGAGATACTGTGATTCATAATAAGAAATGTAGATTTGGCCTTTATCCCCAAGTTTCTGGGTGGGGGTGGGACCAGAGGGGGACCTTCTCCACACCACCTAGCGATTCTAGGTCACCAGCTGAGGGTTCTACAACTCAACTTGATTCTGACATTATCTACCCGGAGATAGAGTCAGAACCCCCCGCCAGGTTAAGGCTCCATCTGACAAGGCTGTCCCCTCCCCCACTTCAGATGCCATTTGCAACCCAGGCTGTCACCTGTGCTTCTGACCAACCTGCTATATACTGGAGGTTCCAACAATCCCCTCTTGAGTTCCATTACTTGGCTCCAGCAGCTCCCAGCACTCAAACATTTTACTTACTACATTACAGGTTTGTTACAAAAGATGTAACTAAGAAACATCCAGCTGGAAGAGAAGCCTAGGGCAAGGCATGGGGAAAGAGTGGGGAGTTTTCATGGCCTCCCCAAATGTGCTGCTCCCCCACAAATCACGTGGTCACCCACCTGGAAGCTCTCCAAACACCGTCCTTTTGGGTTTTTATGGAGGCTTCATTCCACAGGCACAATTGATTAAATCATTGGCCATTGGTGATTGGTTCAACCTCCAGCTCCTCTCCCTTCCCCAGAGAAGGGAAGCAGGACTGAAAGTTCCAATCTTCCAATCTAATCAATTCCCATGCCAACCAGCCCCTGTCCTTAGGTGCCTTAGAAAAGCCGCCTCATTAACATAACAAAAGACACCTTTCTCTCAACAATTAGGAAAGTGCAAAAGTTTTAGTGATTTGGTGCCAGAACCTTGGGGACAAAGGCCAAATCTATATTTCTTATTATGAATCACAATATCTCACACACGCAAATACCTCAAATTGCATTACAGACTTTTTAGGGCTGGAAGGGATATCTGAAATGATTCTCTCTCTCACCTCCTCAGCAGATGAGAAAAACTGAGGCCAAGAGGAATGAACTTGGCAAGATCATCAGCTGTGGGGCTGGGACCAGGATGAACCTGAATATGTATCCAGGTAATTGTGAAGTGAATGAGACCCTCCCTTAAAAAGCTTATTTCCAAGGCACCTGCGTGGCGCAGTTGGTTAAGTGACCGACTCTTGGTTTTGGCTCAGGTTGTAACCTCAGGGTTGTGAGAAGAAGCCCTGCAACAGGCTCCCCGCTCAGCGGGAGATTTTTTTCTCCCTCTCCTCTGCCCCTCCCCCCGTCCTGTGCTCACTCCCTCTGCCCCTCCTCCTGCTTGCTCTCTCTCTCTCACTGAGATATATAAATCTAAAAAAAAAAAAAAGGTTATTTCCATTATCATGCCTTCTCTGGAGGCACATAAGCACTTTCCCAAAGCAGTGAAATATTATAAATCTAAAAAAAAGCCATATGATAAGCTACTTACTCCCTGACCAAACCTGGCATTGGCAAAGTGAGTTCCTCGGTCCTGCTCACTATTTTATTTTTTCCAAATCATTATCAAACACTCAAACAGCTTCTTTTTTTTTTAAAGATTTTATTTATTTATTTGACAGAGAGAGAGAGACAGTGAGAGAGGGAACACAAGCAGGGGGAGTGGGAGAGGAAGAAGCAGGCTTCCTGCTGAGCAGGGAGCCCGATGCGGGGCTCGATCCCAGGACCCTGGGATCAGACCTGAGTGGAAGGCAGATGCTTAACCGACTGAGCCACCCAGGCACCCCTCAAACAGCTCCTAAACAGGGCTTGGACAGCAAGGGCTCTAGAAAAAGCAGGCAATTGATACCTTCACCAGTCAAAATAAGGACCAGTAAATCACAAAGTGCTCTTTTTTTTTTAAGATTTTATTTATTTATTCATGAGAGACAGAGGGAGAGAGAGAGAGGGAGAGAGAGAGAGAGAGAAGCAGAGGGAGAAGCAGGCTCCCAAGGACCAGGGAGCCCGATGCGGAACTCGATCCCAGGACCCTGGGATCATGACCTGAGCCGAAGGCAGACGCTTAACCATCTGAGCCACCCAGGCGCCCACAAAGTGCTTTTTTTTTTTTAAAGATTTATTTATTATTTATTTTGAGAGAGTGAGAATGAGAGAGAGAGAGAGAGAGAGAGAGTACATGAGAGGGGGGAGGGTCAGAGGGAGAAGCAGACTCCCCGCCGAGCAGGGAGCCCGATGCGGGACTCGATCCCGGGGCTCCAGGATCATGACCTGAGCCGAAGGCAGTCGCTTAACCAACTGAGCCACCCAGGCGCCCAACACAAAGTGTTTTTTTAAAAAGCTCACTGGGTCGCATCTTCCCCCAACCAAAATTAAGGAGTAAGCTCAAATTCTTCACTTGCACAGGAAGCTTAGACACTTGCCCAAGGAGGTCCAGTGTGTCTGCGGTGGGCATGACTAGAACCCAAGCCCCGTACTGCCAGGCCAGCCAGGGATGGGTTCGTGCCTAAAGGGGCCTGCATGTCACAAGGGCAGCATCGTTAACCAATTTCAAATCACTCTCTCTGATCCTGTTCTTATCAACAGCCTTCTGATCTTAATTTGATTTCCCAAGCAGATTCCCCTGCTTAAAATAACCAACTTGGAGAAACCTGGACAAACATTACTTTGGCCAGGTGGTCAAGGTTAAAACTGTAATGATAAATCACATCGATGAGACGTACCCTTAATACAATGTGATAACAATGGCACTTTACCGCTGTGCTCTTCTTCCCCAAACCCATAACCTCAGTCTAGTCACAAGAAAAACACCAAATTCTAATAAAGGGACATCCTACAATATATCTGACTAGTACTCCTCAAAACTGTCAAGGTCAACAAAAATAAGAAAAGTCTGAGAAACTGTCACAGCCAAGAGGAGCCTAAGGAGGTATGTCTATGAAATGCATTGTGGAATCCTGGATGGGATCCTAGAACAAAAAAAAGACATCAGGCGAAAACTAGGGAAATCTGCACACAGCATGGACTTTTAGCTAATAAGAAGATATTGATTAATTGTGACAATGTATGGTAGTAATGTAATATTACTATGTGAAGAGAAGAAAGGTAGGGGATGTACTATCTGTATATGGAAACTCTGTACTATCTTCTCAATTTTTCTGTAAATCTCAACTGTTCTAAAACATGAAGTCAATTTTAAAGGAGAGAACCAACTGATAGATCTGAATCCACTGGACATCTTGGAGCCTCAGTCACCTACCCTCTTGTTAGCAATAACATTGAAAAAAAACCAAGTTCCTTACCTTTCGCTGAGGCTTCTCCACAACTGTGCACCTGTAACAAGGAGAGGCAAAAAGCAAGACATTAATGGAGGTGTTTTTCTCTTGAGGCATTTCTCAACTTAGAAATATTCTGAGCTATTTAACATGAAATGCTTAGGGGCGCCTGGGTGGCTCAGTCGGTTAAGCGTCTGCCTTTGGCTCAGGTCATGATCCCAGGGTCCTGGGATTGAGTCCCGAATCAGGCTCCCTGATCAGCAGGGAGTCTGCTTTCCCTCTCTTTCTGCCCCTCCCCGAGGCTTGTGCTTGTGCGCACACACACACACACACACACACTCTCTCTCTCAAATAAATAAAATCTAAAAAAAAAAAATGAAATGCTTAAATATTTAAACTCTAGGAATTATCAAACCATTCAGTGTATACCTCCGGTACCATAATTAATTCATGCGATTAGTCCATGAATATTTGAGATCCTACTACATGTAAAACACTTGGACAGGTCCCATGAGAGATAGAGCTCTACATCACACGTGGTCCCGCCTCAGGGACTTGACTGTTCAGTGCGGGAGTCCTAGCATGCACTCAAGTACATATGAACCGAGGTAGGTGGTGTAGGAACTACACAAAAAGCCCAAACCACAAGAGTTCAGGGAAGAGAGAAAAACAGGCCGCTCAAGGAAGCACCAATAACCGAGGTGGCATTTAAGGTGGGTTCTGAAATGGTGCTGACGGAAGGAGAATGAAGACAACTGTTACTTGAGAAAGGAGATTTTTATCTATTCATTCTTTAGGTGTTTTGAGCTTATACATACTAGGCTCAAATGAAATCAACAGAAAAAAATGTATACTTAGATCAATCACTTGCGTTCTTGATGGGCTTTCTTTCTTTACTGTGCTATATCTTAATATTATACTCTCAGCTACCAGCTTTAATGAAGTGCAATATTAGAAGTGGCCACGAGGCCGTTTCTGCATTTTCCCATGAAACGAATGCCAACGATGTTGTCCCTTTTGTTCTGCAGTCTCCCCTATCAAAGATCTATGTAATAAATTCTTAAAATTGAGTCCCAGGAAAAAAAGTTTCTCAAAATTGCTCGCACTCTTTCATCAGACTAGTAGAAGAATTGTTCAGTTGGTCTAGTTTCCCTTTTTGCCTTGGCTGCCAGTAAACCCAGAGATGACTCTGTCGCTCGGTTACGGTCACCGTATCAGAATCCTGTTCCTCTACTACACCTTTTTAAATGAGTTTCATTTTTTATGATCCTTATAAGCTTTTGGGGTTAGATGGCATCTACTTGGGGGTTAGATGGCTTGTCAAACAAAGCAAATAAACGATTCAAAAGAATCCAAGGAATTCTGAGCACTAGTGAGGCCTCAAGGTGATGTTGGAAAGTGGGATAAAGTTGAGCACTAACAAACCACCTGTCATAGGACATTTCTCTGTTAACACTGGATCCAAGAGTAGAGAAAGCAGATAACACTAAGGGGTGTTTGCTTGTTTGGTATGTCATTAAAAGTGAGGAAAAGGAGTATGGTTGCTGGCTAAGGGGACGAAGACATTTAGAATGGCAGGGGTAGGAGCACCACAGTCACGGAGCACAGAGCAGGCTGGGCTGTGCGGGGCTGGGGGGCAGTGCGGGGGGAGACGCTGAGCAGGGCAGCACTTACACGGAAAGCAGAGAGTGGGTTCCTGAGGAGCGAGGGGCTGGCAGAACATGGCATAAATGGGCGGTGCAGGTTTCACAGGAGGAAGAGTATAAAGAGACAGGTGGATATGCTCCACAGGTGGCCGCGTGGGGACCTGCTGAGCCCTCCCCCCCACCACACAGGGCGGTTCTTGAATAGGATATTAAAGGAAACCAGTGTGGAAATTCTGGGCTCTTCTGTCATGAGAGAGAGGGGTAGGCGATGAAGGAAGAGCCTATGGCTGCAGAAAAGTTCCCCAGGGCCTGGATGAAGAGAAGTGCGCACTCAAGGTAGGCACCAGCAAGAGTGAGCAAGAAATCCACCGCAGCTGACTCGCAACGGACACATGGGCTCTGGTAGGTTCCACAAAGATTAATTTACCTGAAAGGATCTTCATACTCGGGCCTCACCTACTTCATAGGAAGCATCTAAGATGGTATTAAAGATCACAATGTGGGGGGCGCCTGGGCCTCACCTACTTCATAGGAAGCATCTAAGATGGTATTAAAGATCACAATGTGGGGGGCGCCTGGGTGGCTCAGTCGGTGATGTGTCTGCCTTTGGCTTAGGTCATGATCTTGGGGTCCCGGGATCGAGCCCTGCGCCGGGCTCTCCGCTCAGTGGAGAGTCTGCCCCTCCCCCGCGCATGCTCTCACTCTCTCTCGCTCATGCTCTCTCTCTCTCAAATAAAATCTTGAAGGAAAAAAGATAACCATGGGGGAAGAGGAGGTATAAAACTAAATTCTTAACAATGGAAGTTTGCTATCTTCAACCAGGAATGCGGGGGTGGGGGGAGCGGAACCCCCGAGATGGGAGGGGAGAGAACAGCCCCGTGAGCCTGAGGACCCGCTCACGCTTTCCCAGCTGCTGCGGCAAAGCCAAGACATCCGGCCCGAGTGGCTGGCAGGTCTGGTGGAAGCCACGGAGTTTCCATAACCGCATCTGGCTCGAACTGGGCGCCTCGCAGAGACACATTCATCACAGCAGGGCCCTGGGCTGAAAGGTCTGCAGAGGCGGGCTCCTGCCAGCTATGCGCAGGGCTCACACGGACTTTGTCTATGTGCTTTGTCTCCACAGACTCCACTGAAGGAGGCCGGGGCGGGCACCAGTGTTCCTTCAGTCATAGGCTGAGGAGTGCCGGGAAAGCACAGCGGTTAATCCTGGTTCTCCTTTCCTCTTGGTGCATAGCAGGCTACCAGTTAAAACCCTGACGTAAAGCTTGGCCTGGGACACACCCTGCCCTACAAGATGGGGGCATGAGAGCTCCCGCGGTGGGGTGGGGTGGGGCAGAGAGGCCTATGCGGGTGGGGTATCTGGAAGCCCCTGCAAGCCCCGCGCGGAGGCAGGCCCCGCACAGAAAGGCGCTCCACACAGACTGCCTGATGGGCCAACAAACCCCGTGTTGTTCAGATTCTGCATCAGAGCTGCAGGGGGCAGAGGGTCACTGCGCCCCGAGGCACTTCTAGTCGATGCTCTTAGGTGGCCCTCACACAACTGCGCGGTTGCGGGTCGGTTTCTGCCATTTCATGGGATAAGGAGACCGAGTGACGGTGGGCTTTTCTGCCCCGAACCCTGAAAAATCTTACTTTATATGGAAAAAGGGAGGTACCACATGGGATTCAGTCAAGGATCAAGAGATGTGGAGACTGTCCTGGGTTATCCAGGTTGGGCCCCAAATGCAGTCACAGGGATCCCTGTAAAAGGGAGGCAGAGGGAGGTCTGGTGAGGATGGGAGAGGAGAGGGGGCCATGAGCACCGAGGCAGGGAGTGGAGTGTTGAGGCTGCAAGCCAATACCCCAAGCAAGCACCGGAGGCCGGGAGAAGAAAAGAACGCTTCCCTAGAGCCTCTGGAGGGGGCACAGCCCTGCCAGCACCTTGATTTTGGCCCCATGCTATACTGATTTTGCATGACTGGCCTCCAGAACAGTGAGAGAAGAGATTTCTGTCGTTTTGAGCCACCACGCTGATGATTTGTTACTGCAGCCCCAGGACACTAACACAGTCCAGGATGGGTGCCCTCCACGACTGGGGAGTGGAGTGAATGAGCTCAAGGACTAGACCCTTCAGGCTCGTATTCTTCCAACTCTCCCAGCTTAGTTTGGTAAAGGACTGAACCTTTGTAAGCAGAGGTGTCCCACCCTTTAGGAATATGAAAGTCCCGTCTTTGCAAGAACATCAAGCCAATGAGTCAAGGCTGAGAATGACCTCTGCGTGAGTGCTCAAGAATGAGAAAAGAGCAGTTGCAAAGTTTTCCAGCTCTGTCCTGGCCGTCCGTGCTTGTCTGCTCCTTATAAGGTGTGCCCAGATGCGACCCAGTTTGATGCAACACCAACACTGCTGAGATGCTCATCTAAAATGGCCGTTGATGGACTTTTTAAGCAGTTCTTTTCTTCTAAGATTCCCCTGAAGAAGCTCCCGGAGGGTGAAGATGTTACGAAGTCTAGTGGAGAAAAATGGGCTCTCCTGTATCCATTAGGAATCAGGGCAGAAACAGGGCATCGCCATGCGTGGACTGGACCCGCCCTGCGCAAAACCCCACAGTGTGAGCTGCTCTATCTCCAGGCAGCCTTACTACATCTGTGGTGAACAGAAAGTACTGGGGCAGGTGCCTGATAGGGTTAAAAGTTAGGGAGTTGGTGGGGCGCCTGGGGGGATCAGTTGTTTAAGCATCCGACTCTTGATTTCGGCTCAGGTCATAATCTCAGGGTCCTGGGATGGAGCCCCGTGCTGGGATCCACGCTCAGCGGGGAGTCTGCTTGAGGATTCTCTCTCCCTCTGCCCCTCCCCCACTTGCATCTTCTCTCTGTCTCTCTCTCAAATAAATAAATCTTAAAAACAGAAGTGAGGGAGCTGGGTGACTGTCCTCTGAAGCAGAAAATGGTGGGGCAGGGAGGGAGAGGAGAGAAAACACTGCATCCAAGAACATAATCTTAATCTAGAGACTCATGAAAAGCAGTAACTGCACACAAACGCACTGGTGGGAGGTCTCCTAACCAAACCTCCAGTTTGGTGCTGCCCCCTTCCAGGAGGTTGATTCTTCACATAAATTCTTTAAATTCACAAGTTTTCTGTCACCTTCCTAGATCACTAGAGTGAAGGAATTCCCTTCAAACCTTGAAACACAGCAATATGAAACCATCTTTCGAAAAATGGTTTGCACATGATTTGCTCTAAGAACTGTAAAGACTTAAAGGATAAACCGGAGTTAAGGCACATTGTAGAACATGACGATGGGAAATCGGTAACAGCTTCGATCCCCGGTCTCAGAGTTGGCTTTAGGGAGAACAAGGGTGCTTCCCACAAGGCAGGCTTTGGGATTCCTGCCAGAGCAAGAACTTTGGCAAGTCCTTATATGCACTGATCTATATGGACCCCACCCAGCATTATCCCTCCGTGTGGGGGTTACACTTAATGAAATTAAATGTCTCACTGTAACCACTTCCTCTTGGCTGGTTTTTGATCAAATCCATCATCTTACCACATTTAGGTTCCCAGGGCTCAATTATTCCAAGGACGGAGTTTTGCTCATTCACAAAAACTAGCTGGTAGAAGAGGCCTCTCCGAGTACAGAAAAGCTTGACTCAGATTTATAATACAAATTACTCAGAAAATACCTTAAACAAATTTCAAAAGTAATTCAACTTCTCACTTCTAAACAATGTTTAAAATTAGTTCCTTTTTCATCAGTGTGAACTCATTTGTTAAAATTATTTAACTATTACTTGTCTTCTGGGGTTTTGTTTTTAAGTACTCTCCAACATGGGGCTTGAACTCATGACCCCAAGATCAAGGGTCATACCTCTACTGACAGGGCCAGCCAGGCACCCCAACTATTACTTGTTCTTAAGCCCTGAATTGTTTTTTTCTTCACTGAGGCAGAAAAAGTTTTCATATAAACGAGGCCAGCTTCCAGTGGTCCAAGTTTCATCATGTGGGATGTAATAAATATTTCACTGTTATCTTTGCTGCAGCCTACTTACATATCAAAATGATATTTAAGTAGCACTTAGAGCCAAAGAGAAACCAGCACACACAAACCTTTTGTCCAGGATCAGTAGCTATGACTAGGGACATCAGCTAAGTAATTGATAAGTATTAAATATTTACCAAATATATAAGTATTCAATAAACAATAATACCAAAGTCAATGCCTACATAATTTGTTATGTTGTTCCCTTTTAAAACTACTTGGTTAATATGCTTACATAAAGATCACACATTCAGGGTCTAGAAAATTACATACCATAAAAATGAATTCTCAGTTTTCTTACCTCTAGCTCTAGATAAAACCATATCCTTTATTATTTGCATAATAACACGCCCAAGTATCATGACAGAAATCAGGTGATACACTCTCCATGGAGTCAGTGCAAGGAACCTATAACAGCAAAAACAGACAAATCATTATTTCAATTTGAGGATTTTTATCCTTTTTTAAAAATTAGGTTTACTTTCACAGCCCCTGGGTGGCTCAAGTCGGTTAAGCGTCTGCCTTTGGCTCAGGTCCTGATGCCAGGGTCCTGGGACCGGATGGAGTCAAGGCACCCTACCCCTTTCATGGTTAGGCTCTCTGCTCAGCGGGGAGTCTGCTTCTCCTCTGCCCCTCCCCCTATTCCTACTCTCTCATTCTCTCTCACACACCCTCTCTCAAATGAAGAAAAAAAAATTAGGTTTAGTTTCAGCACAGAAACAACAATCCAAATTTCAGTTTTCAGGATCACTCCAACGAGCCCACATCAAAGTTATTTCATGGGCATCAAAGTCAGCAAAATAAAAGCGCTTGAGCCAGTATGCTTTTGTGCTAGGCTTTCTGCTGTAACCTCTAATTTGGGCAGAGGATTTGCTATGTTGGGTGTGGCCCAAATATCACTCTGCTAACAGATGGAGACTGGAATTGACCTGCAACCAAATCATGAGGTGCTAGAAAGGCAGAGCCGCAGGGTTTTCCAATATGCAGAGTAGCCACTGCAGATGCCCTTCACTCGCTGTTCTCTATGTGCTGCTTTTATGCCACATTTATTTATTTAACTATTGCCCCCTCCCTCCAATCTCTTGAAAATAGCAATTAAGGATCCAAGGTGCTGGCCTCTTCTCTTCAAGATAACTATTCTTTGGTCTATCTGGCCCCTTCCTCTCCAGAGGGAAACAAAGAATTCTTTATCATGAAGAGCACATGAACACTGCAGTACTTCTTTAAAATTGGGCCGATAAAAAAATGGAATGGCTGATAAGTCACAAGCTCTGAGGCTTTGTATAGAGGGTGAAGCCTGTTCTATATAGGTTAATTGGCCAAACTGTCAATTAATATTAATTTTGATGTAATCAAAATCACAGAAACACTAACTTAACATATATGTCATTTAATACTGGTTGCAAGGCACTGTAAGCTTTATAGAGAAAAACACATACTACAAAGAAAGAATCCCGTCTTCCAGGAACTTACTTCCTCATCAGAGAGGAACATAGGCCAAGCTAACAAAATCCAAGACAATGAGTCTTAGGTACTCTAATAAAATATAAGCAAAGAACCATACGACCCAGCAGTGGCACTACTGGGTATTTACCCCAAAGATACAAATGTAGTGATCCAAAGGGATATGTGCACCCCGATGTTTATAGCAGCAATGTCCACAATAGCCAAACTGTGGAAAGAGCCAAGATGTCCACCGACAGATGAATGGATAAAGAAGATGTGGTGTGTATACACAATGGAATATTATGCAGCCATCAAAAGGAATGAGATCTTGCCATTTGTAACGATGTGGATGGAACCGGAGGGTATTATGCTGAGCGAAATAAGTCAGAGAAAGACATGTATCATATGATTTCACTGATATGAGGAATTCTTAATCTCAGGAAACAAACTGAGGGTTGCTGGAGTCGTGGGGGGTGGGAGGGATGGGGTGGCTGGGTGATAGACATTGGGGAGGGTATGTGCTATGGTGAGCGCTGTGAATTGTGTAAGACCATAAGACTTTCACAGACCTGCACCTCTGAAACAAATAATACATTATATATTAAAAAAGAAGAAGAAGAAGATAGCAGGAAGGGAAAATGAAGGGGGGGAATTGGAGGGGGGAGATGAACCATGAGAGACGATGGACTCTGAGAAACAAACTGAGGGTTCCAGAGGGGAGGGGGGTGGGGGGATGGGTTAGCCTGGTGATGGGTATTAAAGAGGGCACGTTCTGCGTGGAGCCTTAGGTGTTCTACACAAACAATGAATCATGGAACACTACATCAAAAGCTAATGATGTAATGTATGGTGATTAACATAATAAAATTTAAAAAAACCAAAAAAAATGAGCAAAGAACAAAGAGAAGCAAAGAAGAAAGGATGATTAACTTGCGGAGGGAAGATTTTATAGACATGGCCCTTGAACTTGGCCTGGCAGCATGGATGTAATTCAGAGGAAAACAGGCTGTTCCACTGGGAGGATACAACATATACAGAAGATCAGAGTCAGGGAAGGGGAAGGTGTGTTGGGGTATGCCGAGTGTTCTGGGGTCCCCCAGCAGAAGGAGATGGATATAGGAGAGATTTGGGAGACTGGCAAAGAGAGAAGATATTGAGGGGACAGGCTGGGGGCACACTGTGGCAGGCCCTGAATGATACGCTAGGGCATTTGGTCTCAGTGTTACCAGCAATGAAGAGAAAGCCAAAGGTATAGGGTAGGAAAACGGAATGATGGGCGATTTAGGAAAACGCCTGAGGGCAACTGAGAAGATGAGGTGGGATGGTGAGAAAGCATGGAGTTCAGGATTTATTAGAAGGTTGTGCAATGTATTTGGTGAGAAGCGGTCAACGTGAGATGCTGGTGAAGTTATGGGTAAAGTCCTCCAGCAGAAGCAGGGCAACCCAGGTTCCAGCTCTGGTTCTAATGTTAGCTGTGTGTGTGACCTGGGTCAGGAAAACGTGCAGGTAGAATAAGTCCGTGTTTCTTAAATACTGGTCTGCCACAGCCACAGGCTGCTGCCTGGAAAGCTTGTTAAAATACAAGTTCCCAGACCTCAGGTTCCTTCCCCCAGATCCTCTGAAACAGGTGGTCTAATTACTAGTATTTACATTCAATAAATACTTCTTTGGAAAGTGTCTACATTGGGCCAGCCAGTGCTACCAAAGGGAAATAAATAGTGAACAAGAAGCCCAGAGGGAAGGAGCAGACACACCAGAAAATCTATAATGCCAACTATGCTTTTTAGTAACAATAATTTGTCCTTCTACTCTGGGACTGCTGCTGGCTCTATTCTTTGAGCTTGTATATGTTTGTATTAACCAAGGCTGTTTTTTGGTATTTGTTTTCTTCTTGCTCACCTCCTCCTATCAGTTTATGATCACTGCTTGCTGTTGTGTGTGTGTGTGCCAGGCTCGCTCAGTTTTCCCCACCTGACCCTGACATGGAAGTTTTCGAAATTTGATAGTGACCCACGGTAAGAAATTCATGTACATCTAAATACATACATATGAAACCAAAGTCCCAAAAATAATATTTATCCTTTTTTTTTTTTTTTAGAGAGAGAGAGAGAGAGAGAGAGCAGGGGCAGAGGGAGAGGGAGAATCTCAAGAAGACTCTGTGCTCAGCATGGAGCCCGACACAGGGCTCGATCTCACAATTCCGAGATCATGACCTGAGCCGAAATCAAGAGTTGAATGCTTAACAAACTGAGCCACCCCAAGCACCCCAATTTATCCCTTTTTTAAAGATATTTTAAGTAATCTCTATACCCAGTGAGGGGCTTGAACTCAAAACCCTGCAATCAAGAGTTGTACACTCTACTGACTGAACCAGCAGGTGCCCCCAAATATTATTTATCCTTATAATTTGTAATGCCTTCTGATATTTTCCATTTAATTCTATTATATTTTTAAATGTTGACTATAATTCTAAGGTGATTCAAGGCTCATAAATGAGTTGTAACTCACAGTTCCATTCACTGCATCAGAGAAAATCTACAGATGTTAAATTAGTATGGTTTATTAGAATAACCTGCTTTGCAGAGTCAGGCAAAGCCTTAGGAAAGTTCTCTCAAGTTTAAAAGTGTCCACTTAGCCAGGAAACCAGTTAAATGTCTTTAAAAAAATAAAGACATGCAAAACCAACCCAAGCAGTGAAGGTCATTAGTTATTTTCTTAGTGGAAGTTATGATCTTCCAGGAATAGAAAAATCAGGTAATGACGGGACTTTAACCCTCAGCCGTGGCTCCTGGAAGACTTCACTTAGAGGGCACTGACTGCCATAGCAACTCCAGTTAGGGGTCCAGGGCAAGGGTCCAGGGGGACATTTTGGCTAAGGGTCTCACTGGTCATTAAGAATCCTCAATCATAAAGGCTGGACTATTTAATAAATGATGCTGTGATCATTTGTAATCCGTCCGAAGAAAGGACAATTGTATGTCTATTGCCAAACACATTAAGGTGAATGAGAAAGGAAAAATAATATTTTGCAACCAGGTCAGCACATTTTCCCCAAAGGGCCAGATAGAACATATTTTCAGCTTCATGGGTCATACAGTCTGTCACATCTGTTAACTCTGTCACTGTGAAAACAGCAGAGATATTATATAAAAGAATGGGTATGGTTGTATTCCAATAAACTTTATTTACCAACACACACACACACACACACACACACACACACACACACACACACACGAATCCTTGGTCAGGTGCAAAGGCAAGCAATCCCAACAACCACTTAGGAAGGGAATGCTGAAATTATATGGGATTCCATGATTGTCGCCTTGGTAAGTTAGCATCCTCGACCCTAAGACTTAAGTACAGAAATGTTTGCAAAGCAAATCCCTAATACTAATCATTCATACTTAGAAAAACCTATACATATTTGGTATTTTAATTATTTACAACATTTAAGATGATTCATCTCATGGTTCCAATTCAAAGTATGTGGCTGGGGCACCTGGGTGGCTCAGATGGTTAAGCGTCTGCCTTCGGCTCAGGTCATGATCCCAGGGTCCTGGGATCGAGTCCCGCATCGAGCTCCCTCCTCCTTGGGAGCCTGCTTCTCCCTCTGCCTCTCTCCCTCTCTCTCTCTCATGAATAAATAAATAAAATCTTTAAAAAATAAATAAAGTATGTGGCTGTACAGAATTGTGATTTGAAAATAAAATCTTAGGAACACTTGAGTTTAATTTCTTCATTTTCCACGAATTGCCTAATATTCGGGAGAGCTTGGGTTGTTACAGTTATTTCTTGAAAAGTTCTACTTTAGTAAATTTCAAGCAGGTCAAGAGAGACCAAAGTATAATAAAGAAGTCACAACAAATTTGCATCTATGGCCCCATTCTACCTGACATCCCCATCGCCCAAGGTTACTTGAAGCAAATTGGACATATCATATAATTCTCATAATATTGTAA